CAATATTCCATTTCAGATAGCATTTGAAATACTCTGCCGTGTACTCATAGGAGAATGATTCTGAAAATGGCAAGTAACATCTTGGGATTATTAGAAAAACAGTTGAGACCTTGTTGATCCCCTGAAAAGGTCTTCTAAGACCTCCACAGGTGCCCAGACCACACTTCAAGATCACTTACCTTGGGCAAGATTAACCTAAAGTATGCTAGGGCTTGACCCTTCTGGGATCTCAAACGAATATGCTAGATAATAGAAGAGGTATTCATACTCTCCACTTTGGTTTTTGGGAACTCCAGTGATTTCCTACTCTTTGTGACCTCTGGGAATTATTAGCTGTTTTCCTGTAATGTTTCTTTCCCAGCAATGCTGTTCTTTGCTTGTCTTTGTAGAGTTTCACCCTATGCATGTGCAGGATACTCCATGCAGACTTCTGGAGTTTTTCTGTAGGTTAGCTCCTTCCTCAACTTAATGAGACTGAAGGATTCTATTAGACTGTGCCCTCCCTGCATTGCAGTCTAGAAATTGCCTTCAATCAGAAAGCACAGTTGTACATAGTGCTCACCTCATTCATAGCCATTCTCTCAGGATTCTTAATGCTGCCTGTTGTTTAGTGTCTGCAGATAGTCGTTTCATTTGTGGTTGCATTTAGTTGTTTATGTTGGGGGTAGGGCTAAGTCCTGTAACAGTTATTTCTTCATGTGGAGACATCCCTGACTGTTTGTTTGGGTTTTGTTTTTAACCATATCTGTTGAAACAATCACACTGAGGTCTAATGTTCCTATTAAAACATGATATTTGTTGTCTTAATCTTCAGTAAAAACTTTCCTTTTAGTATTCTGTTTATATTGATAAAAAAATAACTTGTACACAAAGGGGACGTTTTCCACTATGGTATGAGGAACAATGGGGAATGTAATCATTTATTATATATGTAAACCATTTGTTTGCCTTTTGTATTAGGCAACTATGTGGGCGCTTTATGTCTCAGTTTCTTAGTTATAATGTATCTAGAATGTTAACCGGGAATGATAAACAGAATATTACAACTATTTTGTTTTTTAGTTTTAAGTCTTGTACCTCAGGAGTTAGTAACTACTCTTACATACAGTAGTCACACAGACATAGATTCAAATTCTGAGTCTGTGCTTTACTGGATGTATAAATGAGACTGTTTGCTTACCCTGAATCTGAGCCTCTGTTTCCTTATCTGTAATGTGGGCATGATAATGCTGTATTAAATAGGAATAAGAACGTTTAGCAATACAGCTGCTGCTGTTGCTTGGGTTTTTGTTTTGTTTTGTTTTGTTTTTGTTTTTGGTAATAGAGCTTCTAATAACAGTGCTTTAAACAAGTGTAAATTTATTTTCTCTTTCTCTTCAATAAGAAGAACCTGGCAGTTCAGAAGTGGTATGACAGCCCATAGTGTATGCATTGTGGACCCAGATTCCTTCTCTTTCCATTCTACCATTCTTAGCTTGAGTTCTATCCTCAAGGTCACCTCATAAGTGCTTGCTGGAATTTTACCCATCATGTCCGTGTGCCAGGCAGCAGGAAGGAGTAGGTGGGGAAGGTAAAAGGGGGCATTTCTTCCTTTAAAGAAACCTTATAAAATATAGTCATTTGATTCAAATCTTACTGGCCATAACTTAGTCATATGGTTATATCTAGCTTTAAAGGAAGCTGGGGAATATAGTCTTTTAGCAGGAGGCTATGAAGAAGGAAGGGGAAAAGGGCTGTTAGGTTGGCATCCAGGAGCATCTGTCACTAATGTCTTCTCTTTCAATTTTATGGGTTCCCAATGAATTGAGAAATTATCCAGGAGTCAGTGGGTGGAGTCCAAGATATCATTCTTTTAAAACTGACAAAGCTGATTCTTGAGAAAGGGGCTTATATTTGCAGTTAAGTGTGTTTCCTAATATTAAACCCTAGCATTAAACAGACTTGTCTATCCAGTCATGAAAGTGCTGGGCCAGGTAGAGCCTACCTCTATTAACTTTGTGGCATGAAGGAACAAAGTCAATGTGTGTGTTCTGCCAGCAGGTGTTTCTCAGCAGAAAGGGAGGGGTGGATGAGGACTAGAAAGGCTGAGAGTGTTACATATGGCATCAGAAATGGGGAAGTGTTATCCTCTCTCTTCTCCCTTCCTACAGTACTTTATCCTAAGCGTTTAGCATGGTGCTTGCATTGAGTAAGCGTGCAGTATGATGCTTATTATTATAATGATGATTTGAGCAATTCGAGTAGCCACCACGATGTCTCAGGAACCTGTGCATTTAATCTTCCCACGTGCGTCGCTATTTGACACGTAGCTTGGTTTCTTTTTCTGTGCCCTATTATTTTTTTATTTCACCGTGAGATAAAATTGATAAATAATTTTAAAAGGCTGTATAGGTACCTTTTAGAGTAACAGTGTTTAAACTTTCATTGAGGTCATAGTTCCCTTTACAAATGTAAAGCAAATTATACATTATGCTTTCCAGGAATACATGGGTCTTAAGAACTTACGGCAGCTAAAATTCAGATACTGCCATATTACTGTAAACTGGTATCAATGACTATTGAATAAGTACAATTAATTAACAGGAATGCGAGAGTGGTTAAGATCATGTGAGGCAGATGGATAGACAACATGTTTCAACTCCAACTGTGCCTACCGCCTAGCTTTTACCTTAAGCCAGTTAGTATTAACCTGGGTGTTACTGTTTTTCTTGTTCTAAATCAATAAAATGAAGTTGGTAATAGCATCTATATCCAAGGTAGAGGAGTGAATAGAAGCCTTACTTCTGGGCTAGAGTATCCACTTGCTCTTTTCTTTTGTTGCTGTTGTTTTTATAGTCATTATTGTTGTTACCCTTCTTTGCCTTTCTCACTTCACCCTGATTGTCTTGCAAGTTCCAGTGACTTAAGTGCTCTTGAATTTCATAACTTGGAGATAAAATTATTCTGAGCAAACAGCTTGGCCCTTTAGATCTGTTTTTGTTAAAAAAGGAAAAGCAAAAGTCCTCAAGGGTAATCTTCATGATCTTTGATCTTTCCACAATAAGAAAGACCTTTCACAGCCTGCTTCTGGCTCATCAGGGAAAAAGATCTTTTGGATGCCCTTCAAAATTTTCCCTTCTTTCTTTGCTTCCTCTCATGTCTCCTTTCTGGCCTGGGAGAAAGAAAATATGTCAGTTTGATACCGCTGGCCCCTTCTGAAAACCTGGTAATGGTATTTATCCTGTCAGCAGTTCCTGGGTATTTAGTGTTTTATATCTTGATCTGTCTTTATTATTTGAGGAAAAGTTCTTAACTTTCCCCATTCCTTTCTGATGAATAGCTTGGGTTATAGAAGTTTGGTCCCCTCACTAAAAGCTACAGATCCCCTGCTGTTTTTATAGGTTGACTTTTGACACAGACTACTTCTGTTCAAGGAGCTCATTGTTATTAAGTTAGTGCCATTTTATACCAGAACTTAACTTTTAAAGCACATTTAATAGACTTCTTATTGGTTTTTTGGTTGATGTTTAAAATTGTCTAGTGTTTTTTTTTTCCTAATGACCCAAATAGCACATGCTCAATGTAAAAAAAATTATTCAGAAAATATATAAATCATAAAGAAGAAAAAAAAGCTCTCCCATAGTTCTACTCCACCAAACTAGTCACTTTTACTATTTTATATAATTCTATCTACATCTATCTATATTGTATGTATATAAATATATATAAAACATATATACCTATACATATATAGAGATTTATATGCTTTTCAAGTTTTTTTTTGTTTTCCCCAGAATGTAGTCCTTCTATATATACTGTTTTGTAATCTCCTTTTTTCCCCTAACCTATATAATGTGTTTGATTGTTTTAAATAGTTGTATAGGATTTCATAGAGTGGATATAATTTACTTAGCTAATTCCCTATTGAGATGGATACTTAGGTTGCTTATGATTTTTCAGTAATTTAACCCCAGGATGGTAAACATTTTTCTGCATCCATTTTTGAGTAGTTGTGTTATTTTGGTTTTCTGATGCATTCTTAGAGTTTAATTCATGTGTCAAAGGTTGTATACCTACTAACTGATTATGAAAGTACCTTTTTCTAATCAAATTTGGGTGTTATCAGTCATTTTATTATTTTTCAGTGTGATAACAAAACTAATGTCTGAGTGATTAATTCCTATTTCTTGTGATTATTAGAGATTAAACATATTTTCATGTTTTTGGCCACTTGCATTTTTTTCTGAGATTAATTTTGTGTTATATAGTCTTGCTTTTTTTCCAAAGATATGTATATTTTGAAAACGGCAGAACTTTATTTCTTGAGATGTTTTAAAATTATACTATTATATATTCTATAATATATATTTACATATTATAAAATTATATTACAAATGATATTGCTTTTGCTGGACTTAATTTCTTACTTAGCTAGTTATTTTCAAGTATTGACATAGGAAAGAAATTAACTAGTAAAGAAAACCAAGCTTGTTAGAATAATTTATTTGTCTAAAATACAAATGAAGAGAATTGAAATTCTTTTTTTTTTTTAAAGATTTTATTTTTTTATTTGACAGAGAAATCACAAGTAGACAGAGAAGCAGCCAGAGAGAGAAAGAGAGAGAGGGAAGCAGGCTCCCCGCTGAGCAGAGAGCCCGATGCGGGACTCGATCCCAGGACCCTGAGATCATGACCTGAGCCGAAGACAGCGGCTTAACCCACTGAGCCACCCAGGCGCCCGAGAATTGAAATTCTTAATGCTTATTTGCACTTTAAGATACCTAGTTTGGTTTAAATGTTTTTAATTTGCTCACATCTGGTTCTTGACCATGTTTTAGATAAGAGATGCCTATATAAATGTGTATTGTATTTTTACTTGTTGTTCATTTTCATCATTGTTAAAATGAAAGGAATTGGGAATTGTTAATTGAAGTACTCATTTTAGCAAACTATGATCAGAAGATGCTTGGATATAATCTTTCCACATGATAAGGAGCATGTTTTTATTTTATTGCTTTTAGAAGAAAAACAACAGTGAAGACATTATGTATTTATGCAGACTACAAATCTGATGAAAGCTATACTCCAAGCAAGATCTCAGTCAGAGTAGGAAATAATTTTCACAATCTTCAAGAAATTCGGGTATGTTTTTCACATTTTAAAAAAAAATGTTCTGTGACTCTTGCTCTTTAGAAAATAGTTACATTTGACATTAGATTAGACAGATTAAAATGTTAATACATAAAAGGAATATTGTTAATACTTAAGAAAGCATTTTTAATTTTTTATATTTAAAAAATTTTTTGATTCATTTGTCATCTTATTTTTTTCCTAGTGTTTTATTACAGAAATTTTCAGATGTATAGAAAAGCTGAATTGTATATAATAAACCGCAGTATACTCACCTCCTAGAATCTATAATTATCAGTGTTTTGCTATATTTGCTTTATTATTAACTGTCCATCAATTCATCTAATTTTTATATGCATTTCAAAATAACTTGCAGAAATTTGTACTTATCACCCCAAATACCTCAGCGTAATATACGATAACCGGAGTTTTGAATATACGCTTCAGGTTCATTTTTTAAGGTACAGTTTATATGCAGTTTCCACAAATCTTAAATATATTTATTTGTGAGTTTTCACAAATGCAAAAACGTATCTGTAACCCTGACTCCTGTTAACATATAGAATATTTTCACTACCCCATTAAATTTCCTCGTATCTCTTCCCAACCAATCTCCATCTCTATCCTACTCTCAGAGGTAAGTCTTGTTCTAATTTTTTTGTTTGCTCATTCATTCATTCGTTCATTCATTTATTATATAGATCATTTTATTCTGTTCTAGCATGTCATATAAATGGAATCACAGACGGTATAACTTATTGTGAGGCTTCTTTCACTCAGCCTAATTTTTTGACAGTCCATCCATGTTGTTGTGTGTATAGCAGTACTTCATTTTTCTATATTCCTGAGTTATACTCCATTGTTTGAATATACCCCAATTTATTTATCTGCTATATAACTTCAAAGCTATCAGGATAATGCTTTTGTGACCTGAATGTTATTAATGCTAAAATATTTACATTTCAGAGATACTTCCAGTGAGTTTGAACTTTGTACTTGAAAAGTTCTGGCCCTTTGCATCTTTTCTTGTCAGAAAGTCATTGAGTTCAAATAATCATTAAAATCTTTTGAATTAGGTGATTCTGAGAGATCTGGGAAGCACCTGTGATTTTTGAAAGACTTCCAGCCAATTTGTGGCCTGGACTCTTATTTGAGTTAGTGTTTATAAGACTCTGTCTCTACATTTATATTTCTTCCCTGAGTTAGTAACAAAATAGCTTAATAAGAATCACATATACTTTCATTACTTACTCATTAAATGCAGTGTTGTTTCTTTGTGAAATTTGTTTATGTGTTGACAAATAAGGACATTGTCACTCACAGATATTTTGTTTTTTTAATTTTTTCATCCTTTGAGGTAAGTTTGCAACTTTTTTGAGATGACCACCTGGTCTTATTCCAGTTATCTTCCTTTACTTTTAAGGAATGTGAAATAAGTCAAGCAGAAAACAGAATTATCATATGGTTTCACTCACACATTGAATATATGGAATAGCACAGAGCCATAGGGGAAGGGATGGAAAATGGAAGGGGGAGAAAATCAGAGAGGGAGATGACCCATGAGAGACTATGGACTTTGGGAAACAAACTGAGGGTTTCAGAGGGGGGCGCATGATGGGGTCGGCCAGGTGATGGGTATTGAGGAGCGCACATGTTGTGATGAGCACTGGGTGTTATACGAAACTGATGTAGTGATGAGCACTGGGTGTTATACGAAACTAATGAATCATTGAACAGTACATCAAAAACTACTATACAGTGGCTAACTGAACATATAAAAAAAAGGAATGGTCCTATAAATTTTCTTGACTACGAATTTGTCTTTAAAAATATCACTCTAAGTAAAATATTCTTTTTTTCGTTTAAAAATATTTATTTTGTGTGACCATACTGGTTAATTGTACTTTCCATGCTTGAATAAATTCATAAATAGATCAGTTCTTCATTTTTCTTTGTCAGTTTCTTCATTTTACCCAGGGCTTTCTTCATTCAGAATATTTTAGATTCTATTTATTACCATAATTACATTGGGCTTTTTGCTAGCCCTTTTAGTCTTCCGATACATTTAATCTGTGTTTACTGTTTTAAGGACTTGAGATATACTTTGTTAAATATTTTGTATTTATCACTCTAAGTATATTCATATTGAGCAACCTTTTGGGAATAGAGCTGGCGTTTTTTGGTGTAAAATTAAAGGTTTATCATATAATCCCTCTGGCAGGTTGAATTATGTGACACTGAAAATAAAGTTTGATCGAAGCTATGCGGCATATATTTGAAATGTCCACTAGATGTCACTGTTGTCCTTTAAGTGCTAGTCTCTTAATCTAGATGTTAGTAAGACCTTAAGTAGTCTTCGTTGTAACTCGTTTTTCTCAGAGTATATATATTCAAATATTCTTTGATGCATTTTGGGAAATGTACATCTTCATACATGACTTCCAGGTTTAAGTGTTAAATATATATTTTGTATTCTTTTGTAAACTGGACAAACTTGAAATATTTGGACCATCACAGAATAATTTTAATCTAGTTTTTGCTTCTGTTATATCATTTAAGTACTGAAACATTAGCCACATAGAATAAGGGCTCTTTTAGGTAGTCTCTTAATTTTATTCCAAGTGTGTTTATATTTCTGTGTAGTGACCACATAGCCTCATGAGACCAGTAATACTAAATATTACCAGGTGATAATGTAAGTTGTTTTCCTGAAAAACTTAATGAACATACTGCTTTTCTGCCACAGTTCTCACTAAGGAACCATAATTTTTGGATTTTGCTTTAAAATATTAGTGCCGCCTTTGCAGCTCATGATATAAAGTATACTTTATCTTTTAATTATACATCTTTATATGTGATTTATTCTGTTTACCTTTTTTCTAAGTTAAATGTTCTGGTATTATTTTGTTTTTTAAGGGAAGATAAGCAGATCATGATTGTATTTTCTTATATTACTACTCTATAGGATGTAAATTGTTATTTTTTAAAAATCTTCTAACTCAGATACTAAGACAAATGATTAAAGTAGTGTTAACTTTTATGAGGCTTTTAGAGCCATCATTTCATTAGTTATAGGACTGATTTAACTGAGTGGAAAATCCAACTAAATCTTTTTATATTTTTCCATGGAGGGTTGCCTACGGGAAGGTGTAGTATGTATTGAAGTGTTTAATGGGTTTTCCTTTTTTACTAGAAATTATGGATTTGTTTACTTGAAACACTCTAAAAACCTATTTTCTGTCATTTTATTATTGATTTGAGTTGGTAACTTTACAAATATTTAGTTCAGGGCAAGAAAAGCTAATGGCTACCCTATCTATCAAAAAATTATTCTTTTTCTATCATATGTTTTCCTTCATTTCAGTTATAAAGCACGCTATTCTATCTTGATCTTTGTTACCTCTGTTGAAAAATCTCTGAGAAGAGATTAAGCCTTCCCTTTACTCTTTGAGGATGCATATTTCAACCTCTGTACCTGAGGAGGGACTTACAATGGAAATAAAGTTTAGGCTTTCTACTTAATGGTTATAAGATACTCAAACTAGGTTTGGTCGGATAGAATGCTTTTGATGCCAAAACTGTTGAATAACTTCCTTGATAACATGATGAATTCATTTATGCCACTAATTCTACTTTTTCGTTTTTAAAATTGTCCACTCTACAGTAATTGGGAACCAACACCTGAGAACATTTCATGAGGTGTTTGTGACTTATTGCTTCCACACAAACTACTTTTTTTTTTTTTAACACAAACTACTTATATGTAGAAGTGAGGACTTAGCATTTCAGAGTCTTTATGGCACTATCTTCTCAAAATACATCATCTCAGTTGTGTAATTTTTGTGCAAGAAGTCATGTTCATCATATTATTGAAATTATTCCACAGAAGTTTTCAAGTAAAGATAAATGCTTTTAAAATTTTTATTTAGCTATCTACCTATTTATTTATTTATATTTATTTTTTTCAAGTAGACTCCGTTCTCAGTGTGGGGCTTGAACTCATGACCCAGGAGATTGAGATTCCTGAGCTCTATGGACTGAGTCAGTCGGCGCCCTGCTTTTAAAAATTTTTAAACCATTTGCCTTTTAGCATTATGTTTTGGTTTAATGCTGTTTTTTTTCCTCTGCCCTCAGAAGGAAAAATATGTGCGAAGGAAATGTTTTGTCATTTAGAGTGAGAGATGAAAGAATAGTCTATCTTAGATGTAACCATTTTATTTTTAACGATTTTTATTTATTTATTTGACAGAGATCACAAGGAGAGAGAGAGGCAGGCAGAGTGAGAGTGGGGGAAGCATGCTCCCTGCTAAGCAGGGAGCCGGATGCGGGGCTCGATCCCAGGACCCTAAGATCATGACCCGAGCCAAAGGCAGAGGCTTAACTCACTGAGCCACCTAGGCGCCCACTTGTAACCATTTTAATATCGTAGAAAACATCTCCAGCTAAGATTCAAGAAAACAGTCCTTTTCAGTTTGCCGGCTATTTACCTTTTAAAAAATGATTATAGAAATTTTTGTACTTAAATATGAGACTAAAGTGAGTTATTAGATATAAAATGACAGCTCTCAAAATTATTTCTATACAGTTCTGTAAAAAACAACTTGTTAACTGAAGGTTAAACAGGTATTTTCAGCATATGTGAAAATTGTCCTTTGATCCATTGTTAGCATTCTGCTTCTAAAATTTGTGGCCTCAAAAGGATAGAATATTAATGGAGCACAAGATTGTGCACTTAAGTGAATTTTAAGTTTTGTTTTTTCTTCAGATAATAAAGCTGTTACCAAAGTTGTTTTTTTTTTTTTTTTTTTTTTAAGAGGATGCTTGAAACAAGTCTTCAGTGTTAAGAGAGCAGAAATATTTTTCTTTTCTTCCGTGTGGGCAAGACTTTTGGCTCTTCCTGGTGTCTTGAATCAGTAGCATGGCTATGGGAGTCCATATTTGGTACTTTGACAAAAGTGGTTAAAAAGTCAGCTCTTCTGTTAGCATAACATTTGCTATTATAATTTGAGTTC